TGAGCCCCTGAACCCCTTGGACCACGGGGCCCCCAAATGCGCGGGGCCCTAGGCAAATGCCCTAGTTTGCCTATGCGGTAATCCGGCCCTGGGGACAGGGGGGTCACATAAAATAAATACTGAGAGGAATTGACAAAATGGATAAAGAAAAAATGTTTCAGAGATGTGACACATCAACAAATGGTCACAACTGGAAGTTGAAGACTAAGATAAGTCACAGGGATGTTAGGAAGTATTTCTTCAGCCATAGAGTTGTCAGGAAGTAGAACAATCTGGAGAGTGATGTAGTGGAGGCAGGAACTATACATAGCTTTAAGAAGAGGTATGATAAAGCTCATGGAGCAGGGAGAGAGTGGACCTAGTAGCGGCCAGTGAAGAGGTGGGGTTAGGAGCTATGAATCGACCCCTGCAACCACAGTTAGGAGAGTACAGCACAAACTGAAACATTGTTACCAGACGGAAACACAAAAGAAACAAAAAGTGTATATACTTATGTAAAACTCAACTAAAATCCAATATATATATATATATATATATATTGTGGATATAGTACTGTCTACTCTGATGCAGAGTTTAATTCTGCTGTGGACGTATACCTGGAGAGGGTTTCGGGGGTCAACGCCCCCGCGGCCCGGTCTGAGACCAGGCCTCGTGGTGGGTCAGGGTCTGATCAGCCAGGCTGTTACTGCTGGCCGCACGCAAACTGACGTGCAAACCACAGCCCGGTTGGTCAGGTACAGACTTTAGGTGCCTGTCCAGCGCCTTCTTGAAGACAGCCAGGGGTCTCTTAGTAATCCCCCTTATGTGTGCTGGGAGGCATCTGAACAGTCTTGGGCCCCTGACACTTACTGTGTTCTCTGGAGTTTCTGGAGTTTATCTGGAGTGAGTTCCGGGGGTCAACGCCCCCGCGGCCCGGTCTGTGACCAGGCCTCCTTAGGTCAGTGTCCCAGGATGCGACCCACACCAGTCGACTAACACCCAGGTACCCATTTTACTGATGGGGAACATAGACAACAGGTGGAAAGAAACACGTCCAATGTTTCTACTCTGGCTGGGAATCGAACCAGGCCCTCATCGTGTGAAGCGAGAGCGTTAACCACCAGGCCACCCCTGCTTTTCATTGCATCTCCTGCCGAGTCTTTTGCTTTCATACGGAGTGATTTTCGAGTGCAAGTTTGCTACTAATCCCTCTAGGATTTTCCAAGTGTGTATTATCATGTATCTCTCTTGCCTTCATTCCCGGGGAATACAAATCAAGGGACTTCAACCGTTCCCAGTAATTTAGGTGCTTTATCGTACTTATGTGTGCCGTGAAAGCTCTTTGTACACTCTCCAGGTCTGCAATGTCACCAGCCTTGAAGGGGGTAGTTAGTGTACAGCAGTATTCCAGCCTAGAGAGAACAAGCGATTTGAAGAGAATCATCATGGGCTTGGCGTCCCTAGTTTTGAAGATTCTCTTTATCCATCTTGTCATTTTTCTAGCAGATACCGTAAATACATTGTTGTGGTTTTTGAAGGCGAGATCCTCTGACATTATCACTCTCAGGTCCTTCACATTACTTTTTTACTCTATTGTATGGTTAGAATTCGTTGTATACCCTGATACAGTTTTAATTTCCTCAAGTTTTCCATATCTGAGTAGTTGAAACTTGGTCAAACTTGTCGAAGGCTTTTGCAAAGTCTGTGTATACTACATATGCATTTTATCCTCAGTAGCATCCAGGACCTTGTCATGGTGGTCCAGTAGCTGGGACAGGTAGGAGCGACCTGCTTTAAACCCGTGTTGACCTGATTTTGTGTAATTGATGGGTATCTAGGTGGTTGGCGATCTTGCTTCTAGTTTAATATGTTTATTATGCACCCCATACCCATCCTGTGGGCGGTAGTCAAAAGATTACAGAGGTACATAATGGGTCCAGGGACTGGGCCCCAAAGTTTTGATAGCAGAGCAAGTTACAAAGGTAATGAACTCCAGACAGATCTGGTCACAATCATGACAAGTTACAAAGGTATTTACAGATTACAGAGGCACATAATGGGTCCAGGGACTGGGCCTTCTTAGAACCCTTTCAAAGATTTTTATGATATGGATGTTAGTCCTATCGGTTTGTAGTTCATTGCAATTGCTTTACTGCCACCTTTGTAGAGCATGGCTGTATCTGTTGTTTTTAGTGGGTGTGGGATGACCCCTGTGTCCATGCTCCCTCTTCATAGAATGCTGAAGGCACGTGACAGGGGCTTCTTGCAGTTCTTGATGAACACGGGAGTTCCTTGAGTCTGGCCTGGGGCAGAATGCATGGGAATGTCATTTATTGCCTTGTCAGAGTCTTGTGTTAGGATAATGTCAGAGTTGAGGTGACCAAATTTTGGGTCTCGTTCATAAAGAATTCATTTAGATTGGCGACCCTTAGTCTGGGTAACGGTTCACAAATAACCCGCACATAAAAGAGAAGCTTACGACGACGTTTCGGTCCGACTTGGAAATGGTCCAAGTCGGACCGAAACGTCGTCGTAAGCTTCTTTCTTTTATGTGCGGGTTATTTGTGTATCGTTCCAGTCACGGTATTGTGCCTTTTTTTGTTATTTCTGGGTAACGGTTCGCTGAACACTCGGTCGTATTGGAACTTTAGTATCTCACTCATTTCTTTGCTGTCGTCTGTTTATGTCCCATCTCGCTTAAGCAGGGCCCAGTACTGATGTTGCTTTTTCCTTAGATTTGGCATAAGAGAAGAAGTATTTTTTTTTTTTCAGATTTCTTTATGGCTTTTAGTTCTTTCTGAGATTCTTGTCTCCTGTAAGATTCCTTCAGCTTAAGTTCGATATTTGCTATTTCACTGACCATGCCTCCTTTCGTTTTTCAGATATATTGGCCCCTCTCAGCAGCTGTGTGATTCTTCGCCTTCGTCTGTATAGGGAGCGTCTCTCTTTAGTTTGCATCTTCTCTTTCTTTTTCTTAATGGAATGTGGCTTGAGCAGACGTAAAGAACCACAAAGTTATTTTTTCTAGGCAAAGGTTCACATCCGTGTTCTTTAGGCCATCTCCCAGCTTATTTCATTTAGGAAATGGTTGACTTGTTCCATTGTATGTTTTGCTATTGAACTTGAATTTTGTGAAGACACCCTCATGACTGATCACATTTTGTTGCTCAGGAGCCCTGTGCATTCATGTCTGTACCTCTATTATTTTGTGATCTGAGTGTTTTGTCTTGTCGGTAGTTAGAAGAAAAATTATAGCCATTTCAAGACAGACAATACACTATTTTTTATCGGCGATTATCTGGAAGTAAATTATTTGGCTGTCTGTAGGTGGAGTTATGAGTAAGTGAGCTTATCCCACATGGAAGTGGGGAATCGCAAACACGAATTATCGAGACTTGCCAAGGCAGGAGAGAAAAGTAAGAACCAGGGTGGATGTAGAGAGGAAAGATATTGACGAAATTCAGTAGAGTGAAGAGGCATAGTAAATAAGGAAGACAGTGAAACAAATATGCTCTACCAACATTGTTATTATCCTCATCCTGTATGCAGCAGGATCGTGAGAGCAGACAAAATAAAGGAGACTGTTGCGCGCCGGTCTTGCAGAGATCGAATGTTCCAGTCTGCATACAGGCTCCCAGCTGGGAAAGATTGGAAAACCCCAGCAATCAAACATAACCCATGATAATGAATGAGAATTAAGTTTGGAAATAGTAGTGGGGAGGCTGAAGAATGCCGTTGGTTATTGTAGTCCAGTATAGATAAGATTAGGATGCAATGAAAGACGAAGAAGGGTACATAGAAAGCCACTGTCATGCCGAGGCATTTCGGGCAGACTTAACCTAATGCTTAGACTCCTTATGTCTAGACAAGTGAAGAGTGGTAGATTACAAATATTCAATATTTTACTCTATTATTAATATGAAGTACAATTTATGATAGACACATTTTTAAGTTTGTAATAATGGCTTAATAGGGATAATATTTGGGAGAGTTGCTTCAGATTTGGTTAGAGATTAGCATAGTGTGGGTATGGTTGTTATTGAGAGATGAGATGATTTTTAAGTATAGTCCAAAATCGATTTGTGGGTAGGGGACCTCTTGCTGTTTCGGGTAAACAGTTCCAGATCTTCGAGCCCATAATGTGCATTGCATTTTTGCAGTGTGAAACGGACACGAGGGATATCAAAAAGTGTTTTGTACCTCGTGTTATGCCTGTGTGTTCTGTTGAAGTTGTCTAGGAAAAATTTGAGTGGAGGGTTGATGTTGGATTTTAATACTGTGTATATATAGTAGGCACAGTAATAAGTGTGTATATATTGTATATTAATTAAGTTCAAGCTCTTGAAGAGTGGTGGGGTGTGTTGTCTGGCGCAGGAGTTTGTGATCATCTGCACAGCAGGCTTTTGTTGGGTTATTAAAGGTTCAAGGTGATTGATCCTGTGGTAGATCCTCAAGCACAAATACCATAGGTGAGGTAAGGGTATATTAGAGAGTGATATAAAGTAAAGAATGCCATTTGGGGTACATAGTATCATATCTTGAAAAGGATGCCTACTGTTTTGGAAATTTCCTTCAGCTATATGCTGGATGTGTGTCTGAAATTTAAGATTACAGTCAAGGTAGAGACCTTTAAATTTGCCCTCATTGTGTCTTGTAATGTGTGATTGGCAAGGGTTTTAAAAGGAGGTTCAGATAGCTATGGCCAACAGCTTTGAGGGAGGGTATGTGAGGCTTTCGGGACATTTGGCGATCAAACAAAAGACCAAGAAATTTGACCGTATCTCATTCAGAGATAGGGGAACCATGCAGGTACAAAGTGGTATGAGGGACACCAGTGAAAGTAATCCCATGTGTTTTAGCAACAGAAAATTTAAACCCATGACAGGTGACCCAGTGTGAAACATGATCAGTAGTATTCTGGAGAGCGGCTGCTGCATGACATCACAACCTGCACAAGCTATAGCAAAATCATTTGAAGGGAGAACAGAAGCAGGGTCATTAATACACCTGCATCAACCAAGCTGCGTCAGGGTACTACACCTGCATCAGCCAACCCACCTCAGGATACCACACCTGCATCAACCAAGCCACCTCAGGATACTACACCTGCATCAATCAACCCACCTCAGGATACCACACCTGCATCAACCAAGCCACCTCAAGATACCACACCTACATCAACCAAGCCACCTCAAGATACCACACCTACATCAACCATCCCACCTCAGGATACCACACCTACATCAACCATCCCACCTCAGGATACCACACCTGCATCAACCAAGCCACCTCAGGATACCACACCTGCATCAACCATCCCACCTCAGGATACTACATCTGCAGCAACCATCCCACCTCAGGATACCACACCTATAACGAGCTTATTTGGTAGTATGGTAGTGGGGTGTGAATGATAAACCTCTTCGGAGGCTTCTTACTTTATTGTTAAGTCGTGGTGGGTACACAGGCTTGTGTTGTGCCCATGGCCCGGGCAGGGCCATCCCACGAGAGAGAGCTGGGAGGCCTTGTGTCTTCCTGCTAGGCCGCTGTGTGAGTGAGGCGGAGGCAAGTCTGGGCATACTGAAGTGGCAAGGCCTATAGGTGGCAGCACCAGCATGACGCGAAATATGAACTAAGCTGGCAGACAGCATGGGCTGTCTGTGCAGACAGTACAGGCTGTCTACATACACTTGGACACCTACCGCGCGTCGTCCCGACGCAACAATACTGGTGGTAAAAGAAACTTGGTCTCTCTCTCGTAGGAACAGGGCACAGAACACAAAATAAAAACATATATATACATATGAACATGGAAAAAAACTTCCTACAGGGAGGGAAGAAAAAACATGTGGTGTGCTAAACATCGTGGTCAAAGGCAGTGAGCGTCGAAGGGCATCACTGCACACCTTCCTGCGTCTGGACATACTGCAACACAGGAGACATCGCTGCGGCTGAGCTGTGACGTAACAGGTTACGGTCTCTGGAACGGTGAAGCAGTCATCGTAGGAGTCGCTGCAGGTTTCACTCAACCTGGGGCACGACATGCTGGTGCCCTCGAGTGAGGCGTCGACAAAACTCGGCAACTGGGCAGGACTTCTGGCAAGCGACTCAGGAGGACACTTCTCGACTGGTACTGTCGCTGGGCTGTCACTGCCGGCGAGCGTGGAGCGAGTTGTGGAGAGAGTCGTGGCAGAGACGACTGGGCGAAACATCTGGGAGTCGTAACATCATACACCAGACTGCAGTGAGAGAGCTAGCAGTCAAAGTGACATCTTCTTTGTGCAGGCTGCTCATTGAAGCTTGTGACACGAGGCTGACACAGCACCTGCCAACAGGGCTAACTGCGGCTTGGCGAGTATCATTCGGCAGTTGGAGTTATAGCAGAGATTAGTCTAAGCGTCCCCAGACTTGTTTCTCTACATATAACTGCACTCTGAAGGTCTGGAGGTGAAGTGAAACAAATCTCGATGGGAATCGTAGCAGGTACGATTCTGCAGAACATCACGAGCGACGAGCATAAAAGCTTTCTGTACAAGAGGGCTCATATGCTCAGGGCTGAATAATCAGCTGTCAAACACACTGGTCACACGGGTGACTTAACACAGTGGTGCTACTCAGGTCTGGCTCAGACCTCACTGGACACACGGAAACTTTACACACACCGCGGTACAACATGGCTTAAACTAGCAAATGATGCTTTTCTGTGCATAAAACTGACACTAAGGCATATACTAAAATGTGAGAACACTGACTGAGAGGAATTAATTAACACGACACATATCTTCTCTCGATCTTCTCGACAATACTGAAATAATTACTGAACACTCGATGGTGACATCATGTGATGTCAGGCGTGATGTCGCGAGGTGACGTCAGCAGCACTGTGACGTCAGCAGACATCTTGAGGTGACGTCAGGCAGACATCGTGAGGTGACGTCAGCAGACATCGTGATGTCATGAAGTCGGGCAGCATCGTGGGTGAAGTCGATGTGATGTGGGCAGCAGACCACAGCATGTGGCCTTGGGACATCTGGTAACTCACGTAGTGCGTAGGTCTACGTGACATTGCCCACACCCATGTGGCGTCGTGATCTACGTGGCATGCTGGTCCACGTAGCTTCAAGTGGCCTCGGGCACTCAGATACACAGCTCTGGCAATGAATCACATGAAAAACAGCAGAAAACACAGCAGAGGGAGTGGGCAGTGGTGAGTGTATGTTAGTGTGGTGGCGAGGAGCGTGGGTGAGTGTATGGCAGGGGAGCATCTGGCGGTCTCTCCTCCTCCCACCCACAAACACAAGGAAACACACTGGACGCAGAAATCACCACAAGACTCACCTCTGGCTTGCTGAAACAGCTGTGCTGAGCTGAACAACAACAGCAACATACAAGTGACGCTGAACACGTGACTTGAGAAACAGCGTGGGACACTGTAGCGTGGAGTCACTGGGACGCCACTCACAATTCTCGAAGAAATTCGGTAAATTTCGGCTGGATCCTGCTTGTACCTGTGTCTGGATGCTGAAACGTGCAGACACAACATCAGGATAACTCGTTGAGAGACGGATGCTTCTTGCATGGGATGATGAGGTGAAGATGACTTCATCCCTCTTCCTTCCTCGCTTTGGGCAAACACACTGCTGCGACCACCGCTGGTACCATTTATAACGGGTTTGTTTGGTATTCTGGTAGCTGTTGGTTAATGATACGTCTTCGGAGGCTTCTTTGTTTATTGTTAAGTTGTGGTGGGTACACAGGCTTGTGTGTTTGTGCCCATGGCCCGGGCAGGGCCATGCCCACGAAAGAGAGCTGGGAGGCCTTGTGTGTTCCTGCTAGGCCACTGTGTGAGTGAGGGTGAGGCAAGTCTGGGCATACTGAAGTGGCAAGGCCTATAGGTGGCAGCACCAGCATGGCGCAAAATATGAACTAAGCTGGCAGAAAGCATGGGCTGTCTGTGCAGACAGTACAGGCTGTCTACACACCTGCATCAACCAAGCCACCTCAGGATATCACACCTGCATCAACCATCCCACCTCATGATACCACACCTGCATCAACCAAGCCACCTCAGGATACCACACTTGCATCAACCATCCCACCTCAGGATACCACACCTGCATCAACCATCCCACCTCAGGATACCACACCTGCATCAACCAACAACCTCAGGATACCACACTTGCATCAACCAACCCACCTCAAGATACCTCACCTGCATCAACTAAGCCACCTCAGGATATCACACCTGCATCAACCAAGCCACTTCAGGATACCACACCTGGATCAACCAAGCCACCTCTGGATACCACACCTGCACTAGAAGACAAAAAGAATGCAGATGTAATATATACAGACTTTGCAAAAGCCTTCGACAAGTGTGACCATGGCGTAATAGCGCACAAAATGCGTGCTAAAGGAATAACAGGAAAAGTCGGTCGATGGATCTATAATTTCCTCGCTAACAGAACACAGAGAGTAGTCGTCAACAGAGTAAAGTCCGAGGCAGCTACGGTGAAAAGCTCTGTTCCACAAGGCACAGTACTCGCTCCCATCTTGTTCCTCATCCTCATATCCGACATAGACAAGGATGTCAGCCACAGCACCGTATCTTCCTTTGCAGATGACACCCAAATCTGCATGACAGTGTCTTCCATTGCAGACACTGCAAGGCTCCAGGCGGACATCAACCAAATCTTTCAGTGGGCTGCAGAAAACAATATGAAGTTCAATGATGAGAAATTTCAATTACTCAGGTATGGTAAACATGAGGGAAAAGATTCTCCCACCATCAGAGCAGAGAAGACAACTGACCCTAATGAGCAGGTTCTCAGGGTCATGCAAGAACTGGGTATAGATATCAACAGGACCAGAGAGGTTAGTATTTACCTATATCAGACATTTAAACCTTTCAAAACACTTATATAATTCTGTAACCCTTTCATTGCCTTTTGCATGCATCTGCGTTAGTGGTGCTGCTCACGTAAATCTACGTTTTAAGAGCAGCACCTTCAGATATGTTGTGACCAGTAAATTTGGCCTAGACATGAGAGAATGGATCTGTGCAGTGAGTGTGCAATAGTATATAAAAAAAAAAGTCCTGCCACACATAGTTCATGATGGGTAAAGAGCAGACTTCTGGCCTTGTGACTTGGAGAGTTTTCTAGGATAATTTTATTGGTTGTTTCTTGGTATCAGTTGATACCAAGAAACAGTTTCAGAACCGGTATCTGGAAATAAGGCTCAGTAGTGAAAATATTCGATGTTTGATGATTTTCCTAGGGAAGGCTAAGGTCCTTCTCCTCCTCTTCCTTGGTGTTTTATGGGTTTTTGCTTGGTCTGCTTCAATTATTGGGATGCCCTAGACCATGACCAGTCATTCCTAGTTATATTTTATTATTCAAGAAATAGGGTAAAACTTTGATATTTTGTGTGAATTCAAATTGAAGGGAAAGTGTAATATAGGAGAGGACTAGGAACATTATTAATGAAGAGAGGTTTAAGTTGCTGGAATGCATACAGTATTTATTTTGGGTTTTGTTTTTAAGTTGGAATTTGTTGAATTTTGTGTAAAATTGGCCAAATTACCAACTTTTGTGCACAGTTCTGATAGTTGAATGGGCAGTTTCTTGTGCTTATCAGAGTGTAGTAGCTAAGAATTTGATTGAATTGAGCAATGGAATTTATTTAAAATAGAACTCAATGTGTAAATTGTGCTTGGATCACTAATAATTCTAAGTTTTCCATCAAATTTAGTATGTTTGGTGTCAGTACCATCAGAAAAAGATTCTCTACCATTTTGATATTTTTTTTTAATCTCAACATTGTCAGCACTTTTAATTTTTGAGGTTCTGACAGTGAAAGAGTTAAGGAATGATAATGCCTTTCAGAAATTGCAGTTACATGTATTGAAATTAAAATATAACTCTTCTTGAAGTTTCTAAGCAATATTTTGTGAAAGAAAATCAAGAACATCTAAAACAGCTGTTGAGCAGAATAAATAGTGTATCTAAAACCTGCATTAATATTGAGTTTTTTAAGGGTATAAAAATCCTTTTTATTGCTGTCAATATTTATCAGTTGTTTAATAATACATTTCTTATTTTCTCATTCCAGTCACTTCTGAGTGAAGCTTATGATAATTACACAGCAATCTACCTACTACTGCTGGAACGCTTCAAACAGCATCGATCGTCGCTGCATGGTGACAAGCATGCAGGTTTAGAGCAACAGCGTCGCAGACCTTCCAGTGTGGCAGAGGCAGCTATGAGAAAAATGTGTGCATTGGTGCCTACGGGCAAATCTTCGCCAACATCAGGCAATATACACAATACACAACTCACAGGATCTTCAGGGAATACAAGTGGGGGTATACCAACACCTCTGTTGTCTGAGGTATCAACTGCTGGTGTCATTAACCCACTTATTATCCAAGAGGGAGTGATGACAAGACCATATGGCCATACAGGAAGAATATTACCTGCAATTCCAGGGGATCAGCAGAGCACTATGTCACATAGCTATATATCAAATTTTCCCACCTTGGGGTCACGTGGAAGTCCAGGAAGTGGTGTACCTGAAGCAGAAGCAGTTACCACAAACATAACACATGTCTCTCCACCCTTCAGAGAACAAAGCCAGGACTCTCAGACTGAATTTTCACCTGGTTATCAAAATATTACTACAAGTGGGGTTATACCAATGTCATTAGTAGGCAAAAGCTATCGTGATAATGAGAGTGGAGCTTCTACCTCCATAGATGAAGGAGTAGAGGCTGATATGTGTGACTCGGAGTGTGGTTCCATTGTTGGAGTTACTCGTAGTGGCCATTGTATGCTACAGAACATCAAAAGTGCCTCACAGCAGTCTTCAGAGACTTCTCAGTGCACTGACTCACCACTTGGCAGTGTTACTAGCACTGAGTCTACATTTGAAAGCTTCGAGTCACAGTTAGAGCCAGATTTAGCGGCTTCTCTTTCGTCTTGTTCACATGCATCCTTATCAGCAAGACCATTAATGCCCGGAGTTCAGTCACGTTCTCTTCAGCCCCAAGCACAGCTCGATCCATCTTCAGAAGCTCCGGAGCGCACACGTACTCACTCGCCTGTCAACTTCCGTGAAGGTCGGCGTGCTTCTGATGGATTAGTTACTCAAGGTGTTATAGCATTCCGCCAAAGATTACTAGAGACAGAAAAAGCTCGTGGTTTGACCGAGCTACACAGTGTCCAACAGGAGCATCAAGCTCTTACTTCACTCTATCAGGCAACTGCTGTTACTGGAAGTGAGGAGACCACAACTAGACACCAGCCCCTTCATTATCAACAGCAACATGCACAGTATTGTCGCCAATGGAGACATTCTTACGCTGGCTCTGATGAGATGAGCCGAGCTCCTTTAGTAAGACAAAGAGTATCGTTACCAGACACTCTTAGTTTTACTACTCAAAAGCTTCTTCATGCCAAAGATTCCATTAAAGATACAGATTATACAGTGACCAAACCACTCCAGCAGCAACTTTTTCAACATAGACTACAGCAGAAACGTCAGATTTTACAAAAACAGGCAGCATTCCCAAGACAATCTTATCCTGTAGGTTGTGAGCTGTCTCGAAGGCAAATGGTTCGACAAGCATCTTACAAGCTAGCACAGCAACAGCCTGTATTACCACCATTGCCTGCTGAACTTAGTGCTGCACATCTTCTTGCTGGGTTAAATCAGGCTGACTTGGCATGTCCAACCATTGCAGAGCATGTAGGATTTGCAGATCAAGATGAGGAAGGCTGGGAGAGCAATCCAGCATGGCGTAATATCTCTTCTTGGGCACCAGACACCACAACAGCAAATTGGCATATACTTCCCTCCACACTGGCTGCATGTCAGATCAGTGAAGCTCAACAACATTCTCAGCCACCAGTTTCTAGTACTGACAGCCGGACATGGACTGGTCTTCAGGCGTGGCATGGAGGATGGCTTCAGGTAAAGTATGATATCTTATTTGAAAGTTATTCTTTTGATATTGACAATATGTGTGTTCTTTCTTTGAACACACCGGCCGTATCCCACCGAAGCAGGGTGGCCCAAAAAGAAAAACAAAAGTTTCTCTGTTTTAACGTTAGTAATGTATACAGGAGAAGGGGTTACTAACCCCTTGCTCCCGGCATGTTAGTCGCCTCTTATGACATGCATGGCTTACAGAAGAAGAATTCTGTTCCACTTCCCCATGGAGATAAGAGGAAATAAACTGGAACAAGAATTAGTAAGAAAATAGAAGAAAACACAGAGGGGTAGCAAGACATACCTGAAATATTGCATGTTTGAGACAGAAAAAAGACACAGAAATCCTACCATCATGTAAAATAATTACAGGTTTCCATTTTACGTTTCACTTGGCATCACGGTGGTACCTCCCTGGGTAGTTGGACAGCAGTGTGTGTGGTGTGAATATTTTGCAGAGGATTTGGAGTGTAGAAATTACAAAGGGATTTGGGATCACAAAGGGTATACTAATTAAGAGGGCTAAGGAGGGGGTGTTAAAGTGGTTGGGGCATTTAGAGGATGGAGAGGGATAGGATGATGGAGGATGCATAAATCCAGGGTAGAAGGCAAGAGAGGTAGGGATCATCGCAAGAATGGTTGGAGAGAAGGGGGTAAAGAAGGATGAGTTCTAGGGGCTCAAGGATCCAGCAGGCTTGTGTGAGCATGTTAAAGGTGAATGGAGATGAGCATTTTTTTTAATAGACATGCTGTTGAAGTGTGAACAAGGTAGCATTCATAAAGGAATTCAGGGAAACTGATTAACTGGACTTGAGTCCTGAGGTGGGAAGGGAATGTTGTAGTCAGAGAGTAATCTGAATTGTGATGTCAGCACATGTCTGATAAGATGGTGATTGAGTGATGGTAAATGTTTCCATTTTTGGGAGATGGCCACTGAGGAAAAACATGCATGCCTGCACACAGTGTATAGAGCATTAAATATAGGAATTGTATTTTACCAATGTCAGTTCTTCTTTCAACGCACCGGCCGTATCCCACTGAGGTGGGGTGGCCCAAAAGAAGAAATGAAAGTTTCTCCTTTTACATTTATTAATGTATGCAGGAGAAGAGGGTTACTAGCCCCTCGCTCCTACCAGTATCAGATATATATGATTATTAACCCTTTCAGGGTTTCGGCCGTATTAGTACGGCTTACGCACCAGGGTTTTTGACGTACTAGTATGCCTAAATTCTAGCGCCCTCAAATCTAGTGAGAGAAAGCTGGTAGGCCTACATATGAAAGAATGACCGTGTTTTTGGATTAAAACAGCGACTTTGCACTGTATTTTCGTATGGTATTTATTGTTGTATTCTAGTTTTCCTGGTCTCATTTTATAGAATGTAAGACGTATTATAGAAATTGAGATGATTTTGACTGGTTTTACAAAGAAAAGTACCTTGAAATTGAGCTCAAAGTAGCAGAAATGTTCGATTTTTACCAAAGTTCAAAAGTAAACAAATCATCCTATGCATCCAATACACTTCAACTGGTGAGTCGAATATTCTTTCACAAGTGCACTAATATTATTTATACCATTTCTACACTAATGCAGTAGTCTGCATAACAGTAAATCTATTTTTTTGTGAGAATAAAAATTCAAAGTGGAAAGCAAAAGAATGTACGAGGGGCATGGGGACGTGACTAATGAACAGAGGATATGTTATTTTAGTGCCAGGAATGTCTTTCTTGTTTATTCTGGACCCTATTTGGAAATTGGCATCTTTTGAAATTTGTGTGAAATTGGCAAAATTGCTAAATTCTGACCACTGTATTGGATAGTTGAAATCGGTAAATGGGTGGTTTCTTGTACTCATTCCATAGAAAAAAATGGAGTTCTAGCAAAATAGTTATGATTTTTGTCGACAAGTACACTGGAATTGGCTGAAAATAGGGCTCAAAGTGGGCAAAATCGCCGATGCGTAAACATCGTCAAGACCGCTAACTTTGCGAGAGCATAATTCCGTAAGTTTTCCATCAAATTTCATACTTTTGGCATCATTATGATCGGGGAAAGATTCTCTATCTTTTCATAAGAAAAAATAATTTTTTTTTTTTTTGAAATTTGGCCGACCCTGATGACAAGTCTCTGAGGGCCTGTCGACCCTGAAAGGGTTAATAGTATGACCTAAGGATTTTTCCTAACTTATTATTAATAGTACATATATTCATTTAAAACTGGTAAATCACTGCAAATTATTCAGTGCCATTTCCTGATTAAATTATAAGATTGGTGAAATTGATTTTACAAAGTGCTTGATGAAACAAATTTACATACTATGCTATATTCTTTTGCAAACAGGGCGGGGGTGCAGTAGGAGCAGCTCCATGGCAGCCGGTGGTAGGAACCAGCATTCTACCACAAACTGTATGTGAAAGTCCCATTCTTGAGATGCCAGAACACATGGAAACCTGAGGTTCGTTATTTTCACTCAACTTTTCAAAAGCCTGTAATGCTTACAGCAGCTGGGCTGGACTGAGACTAGAGCGATAAACTGGAATAAGAAGTAGTGCTTCTCCACTAGTGACTGAAAATTACAAATCAAAGCTGTCGACCCTGTCTTGCCAAAACAGGGTTACAAGAAATAAGTGCGAATGTTTTAAGAATTATCATATGTCTTGAAAATATGCCATCAACTGCTTCCATCACCTTGGTAACTCAAGTCTGCAATACACTCTGTCATCAAATCTGGTATGAATCTGCATTTTTTTTTTCTGTTTGGGTATATGATGATATAAAAGAATGGAACTAATACTTTGTTGACAGTGAGAAATTTGTAATTTTTAACCTGTTAAAGAAACTGTGCAGTTTAAATGCTAATACTGTATCTCGTTTATGATTTCTAAAGAAATCAGCTCATTGCATTAAATCATTCCAATGTTTTAATGAGACTGGAATACTGTACAGTATATAATATTTCCAGGTTAGAAACCAAAATTTCTAAAATTACTGTGTTTCTTTTACTAGGGCTAAATGCTACTTCAATCAGTTACTGTTTTGGAAAAGATTAGTAAGAAACAGGCTATTAGGTTTATAAAAAATATTATCAAATAAATGTGATTGCAGTTCATTTTATCTACCATAGGTAAAATATTGCAGGCTTCCCAAGGATTGAAGAAGATTTTTCAGTTTGAGTTTGTAAAAATGTCTGCTTTTAAGTGAAAAAACTTACCTTCACTGCCAGTGACACCCATAAACTGTAGATACAGTTAAAGTTTAATTACCGAATGAGTTCTGCTTCAAAAAGAAGTTAATATTCATGTTGAAATGTCGTTTATATCCTTTGGAAAAATAAAAATAAAGTTTTGGTGATTACAGTGCCTCAGAAGAAAAATGAGGTCACAAGTGGATGCCAACTATTAACGTACACTCAAGGATATCAGTAATCCTAACCCGGCAGAAGTGAAATGAAAATGAGTATGGAAAGATAAAGATGAGACCAAATATTTATAGTCAGAGTGGCATACTGTTAAGTGTTGAAGCTTTATGCTAACATAAATCTCTGAGCTTTTAAACTGAATTTTGGTAATTGCATTGATTTAATAACCTGTGGATATTATGCAGATTTTATTTTGATATATTTTGGTATAACAAGCATTGAGGGCCCTCAAAATTATTTCAAGAAGCACCATTTGTTTGCATGAGGATACTATGTTATTGATCCAGTTACAAAAACAGTAATTGAATATACTGTTATGAAATCTAGATGTCTTCTGGTGTGGGTTATTATTAATATTGTTACTTTGATTGTAGAATATTTTCAGGAAGTGATTGAAAATGTGTGACAAAAGTGATGAAGTGGTGTTAATATATTTTCACAAGTAAAATGCTGTGGGTGAGTAATTTCTCTCTCCTTGGCAAGAATCCCTTCTCAGGCAGACTCAAGTTATAATGCTCTTTAGAGTCACCTTTCTAGTCATTAATATTTAATACAGGAGAAATACCACTGAAAATGGAGGAGTTTGTTGCAGTTGCATTTCTCTTGTCTTTTTGACCTTCATTATGATATAACTTATTTATAATTGTAATTTCAAATTGGAAAAAATGGAAATCTAAAAATCTGCAGTACTGTATGACCCCCTGTGAGTTCAGCGCTTTTTCATAAAGGATAAATCTTTGCAGTTCTAAAATTTCACATGCTTCAGCAGACTTTTTCCCACTTGTGGTGAGACCCCACATGGATTCCCATAAAAACTGACAAACAGTACATGGACATGAGGTTAAATTTATGAATTTCCAATGTAAATGTACAGTATTTCCCATTAAAGATTTTATCCGCACAACTTTTAACTTTTGGTTAACAGTAACAGCATCACCGTGAGCCTTCCCTCTCATAGTTGCCTCATCTGCATGCAAGTCAAAATTTATTAACCCTTCACTTAATTTTTAGCCGTGTGGGTAGTCTCATTGTATGTGACAGTATAAAAATTTGTGAAGCATACTGAAATTGTATATTCGTCCATATTATATGGAAATATCCTGTTGAGCCTGAAAAGATTAAACATATATTCATACAGAACAGAAAACAATTAAACAGTAAGACTTGCAAACCAAGTATTAGCTTATTACCAGGATAGAAATAATTATGACATAATTATATGTTTACCATCCATGTTAACAGTTGGAAGTCATTTTCAATCCCTAATCATAGAAGCATATACTACTAAATTATTAGGAAAATAAAATTATTGATAATGTACAGCTATATGTGATTTAGTTAAATACTGTGAACAAAAAAAATTAAACTTTATAGTGAACCATCCTCATAGTGTTGAAAGTGTTGTTACCTGTATCTACCAGATTGGCAAACAATACATTATTCTTCATTTGAAGGTATGTTTTAGCATCTTAATCATTTTGTGTAGGTTAGAAGATGCAGTTTTAGGCTCTGAAGGTCTCTTACTTGAAAAAAAAAAGTTCAGATTCTGTAATAATGCCATAAATACAATGAACTGTGTAGTTTCATGAAACACTTAACCCACGTGGGTCATTCAGCGCAAAGATTAGTGGAGGCTCAGTCTTCTATTCGCTAAATGTGGGTTCGGTCTCTCCTGCTAAGGTAACTGCCATTAATTCTTATGAATCGTGATATTCAGTTCTTAATTCAGTAGTTGAAAATATTGACTTAAATATGTATTACGTAATGTATCACAATAGTGGAGGGAAAGAGGAGACAACAGATGATGAAGAGCATTATAAAAATGTGATATAGCTAAATAATAGGACTTTGTTATTTACAGTTTTTGCAATACAGTTTGATAAAATGGTAATGTCATTAATAAGTAAGTTGTAAATGCAAGTAAAGTATGAAATTTCCTTGATTTCACATAGAGCAATTCAGCAACATATATGGCCTGCACTGGCATAATTGTATTATAAAAAATTCACAAAATTTAGGAGGTTTAAAATAATTATTAGTTTACTATTTCAGTACTATCTGTATGTAACTGACCTGACTGTTTATGCTGCATTCAAAATTATTTGCTTTCTCCTGGAGATAATCAGTAAACCTTCAATTTAACGAACTCATAGGAGGGGAGAGAATGTCCATTAAGAGACTATTTTCTGTTATATCCAAATGATGAGACTGCTTTTCCATGAGCATAACAATAACAGACAATTCTGGATTTAATGAACTTTAAATCCAAAAATCAATGGCCAGTTCTGAAAGTTCAGATTTTTCAGTAACAGTAATGGGCAATTCTGATTTACTACCCTTGTCTATTAAATCTGAAATCAATTGAACCAGCAGACCTAAACAATAATGAATAATTCTGGATTTAGCAGATATTGTACACAGTTTCTGGATATCCAGCCACAGATTTTTTCCTAAATCCAAAATCTGTTAAATCAGGGTCTGTTAAATTGAGGTTTTACTTGTACTTTCAGATTTTATTGTAGTTGCATTGAAGATCTCTATATGCTAATGCCCTAATGACGTGTATAATGCAACTTGGAGGCAAGTAAGTAAGTTTATTCAGGTATACACAAATACAGTTACATAGAATTATCATACATAGCAGCATGTGTGTAGAGAACCTAGGATAACCCAAAAAAGTCAGACAGAGTGACTTATTTCCATTGGGTTCCATTGGCAGAACCAAGAATCTGGGAATGGGTTGAAATAAGGGGCATATGCCAGAATTTTAATGTACACAGAGCACACTTTTTTTAGAAAGTTTTGATGAACAGACTTAATTTGTGTGGTTTTAAGGCATACTGTTCTCTACAATTACAGTATTGTACTGTAGTTAATAAATAGAATTATTTACATGACATGTGAAAGATAATTGATAAAATTTATGAATAATTTTTGAAAGGGGCAACTATGTAGATTCACCACTACATCTGTTGCTGGATATTATTTCTCACCCCTTGTGGTTAAAATTTAAGCATTATCACAAGAGTATTGTCCTACTGTTGTAATTAGCTAATATTTTTTTATTACTAACCTAGATAAAAATACATGACATATCAAAAACTTTCAATATTATGTCTAACCTCATGCATAGTAAGTTTTTGCATATAATCTATAGAAGCTTAAACCTTCCTCTCAAACAGGTGACTGTTTTACTGTGTATTGCATTGTCACTACAATTTCCATTAATATAGATTAAATAAAATTTAGTTATGGTAGCTAATAATCATTGAAGCATTTATGGGACTAATGCTTATCTTCATTATATGTTTTGCTAATAGGAATAAATCTAAATTTTCACTTACGGGAATTTACGAGCTGTACAGATGTAGCAGGTTCTCAGTGTAGAAACCTTTAATCACCATATCCAAAAATAAGTTATTGCTTGTCATTATAGTCACTTTTTATAAGTCAAAAAGAAATTTTACTAATGTAATAAAAAATTAGGGGTATTACACTGCATCGGATAGCATTCTGGGCTTGTATTATGCAAGCCAAAATTTTTTATCTGATATGGCTTGTAGAACATATTGGGTGTCATCTCATGCTCAGAAAGTCAGCCACTTTCATGCTAAGGGTTTGAGATTTTGATCAACTATTCATAGCCTGGTTATGACTAAGTATTGTAAAGCTAGTTAAGTGAATAAGCTCACCATATTAATTATTTGACTTTAACAGTATATTACTCACACAGTGTGAGGATACATGGTCTAAAACAAAATAGTGAGTGCTTAGTAGCATGATTATAAGGAAGGATACAAAAATAAGAAAAATATTCAGTAAAATATCAAATGCCACTAGTGTTGTTGTTTGAAACATCTAGTCAGTTGGATGCAGGTATGTATTAACTTATGTGCTGCATGTATTTGTGTTATTTTCTTATTACCTGGTCACAGAAAAGGTGTGGTCACAGACTAGGCCATGGGGGTGTTGATCTTTGAAACCCTCTCCAGGTATACTTGCTGCTTTTTTCTGGGCAATATCTTTAGAATCTTTCTCCATTTTGACTTAAAACTTTGCAGTGCTTGCAAATGTTTATAAAACAAACTTTCTTATTGAAACTGGGCAGTGTAATGCCCAGCTTGTAATTTTTTGGGTGGGGATCCAGTTTGTAAGTTTTAAAGGGAGGAGAATAAGCAGCACACTTTAATCAAAGCATATTCATATACTACTATATTCCCAACATAATATGGCTTACATATAAAATTAACCCTTTCATTGGCTGTCATGTAGAACTAAATCATTGATGTACAACTACATGTAGTTCTACATCATTAGCTCATTCACATACGCTGTGAGCTGTAAATTTGGTCCTAGATATGAGAGAATGGGCCTACATGGTGAGTGCACAGTATAAAACAAAATCCTGCCCCTATGCGGTGCCTGATGGGAAAAGCAAAACTGATCATGTGTTTGGTTTAAAATAATGACTGAGTTTCCTAGGATATTTTTTTATGATTTTATTGGTTGTTTCTTGGTATCATTTAACCCTTAAACTGTCCAAACGTAGATCTATGTTCACGTGTGTAGCTCTCCGACCTTGATTTTCCCCATTTATAAAAGCATGTAAAAAAACGTAGATCTACATTCAGAGCTCCCCCGCACATGGACGTAGATCTACGTTTGGACAGTTTAACCCTTTCAGGGTTTCAGCCGTACTAGTACGGCTTACACACCAGTGTCCATGAAGTACTAGTATGCATAAATTCTAACGCCTTCAAATCTAGTGAGAGAAAGCTGGTAGGACTACATATGAAAGAATGGGTCTATGTGGTCAGTGTGCACACTATAAAAAAAATCCTGCAGCACACAGTGCGTAATGAAAAAAAAAAAAACTTTGACCGTGCTTTTGGATTAAAACATCGACTTTGCACTATATTTTCGTATGGTATTTATTGTTGTATTCTAGTTTTCCTGGTCTCATTGTATAGAATGGAAGACATATTACAGAAATTGAGATGATTTTGACTGGTTTTACAAAGAAAACTACCTTGAAATTGAGCTCAAAGTAGCAGAAATGTTCAATTTTTACCAAAGTTCAAAAGTAAACAAATCACGCTAAGCGTCCAATACACGTCAACTGGTGAGTCTAATCTTCTTTCACAAGTGCGCTGATATTATTTATGCCATTTCTACACTAATGCAGTAGTCTGCATAACAGTAAATCTTATTTTATTTGAGAATAAAAATTCAAAGTGGAAAGCAAAAGAATGTAAGAGGGGCCTGGGGACATGACTAATGTACAGAGGAAATGTTATTTTAGTGCCAGGAATGTCTTTCTTGTTTATTCTGGACCCTATTTGGAAATTGGCATCTTTTGAAATTTGTGTGAAATTGGCAAAATTGCTAAATTCTGACCACTGTATTGGATAGTTGAAATCGGTAAATGGGTGATTTCTTGTACTCATTCGATAGAAAAAATGGAGTTCTAGCAAAATAGTTATGATTTTTGTCGACTAGTACATTGGAATTGGCCGAAAATAAGGCTCAAATTGGGCAAAATCACCGATGCGTAAACATCATCGAGACCATGAACTTCGCGAGAGCATAATTCCATAAGTTTTCCATCAAATTTCATACTTTTGGTGTCATTATGATCGGGAAAAGATTCTCTATCTTTTCATAAGAAAATATAATTTTTTTTTTTTTAAATTGGGGGACTCTGAGAACAAGTCTCTGAGAGGGCCTGTGGACCCTGAAAGGGTTAAGGGTTAATAAAATGGAAGACATGCTACTGAAATAGAGATGATTTTGGTTAGTTTCAGGAACTGAAGTAGCTTGAAATTAAGCTCAACATAGCATAAATGTTTGAGTTTTGCAGATTTTCCTGAGGATAGGTAAGGCCCCCACTACACCCCCCAGTCTGTTTTATGAATTTTTAATAGGCAGGTTCCAATTATTGGGAATTTCTGGTTATATTTTATTATCCAGGAAATAGAATGCATCATCTATTTTTGTATAATTATGAATTCAAAATGGAAGGAAAGTGTAATATAGGAGAGACCTGGGCCATGATTAATGAATGGAAGAAATGTTTATTTTGCACTCTATTTTTAAATTGGTGCTTTTTAATTTTGTATAAAATCAGCAAAATTACCAACTTCTGTACACTTTATATGGTAGTTGTAATAGATAAATGGACCATTTCTTGTGCTCAATTGATAGAGCAGAAGGCATACTAATGAAACAGCAAAGAATTTGGTCAAATGGATCAAAGGAATAGACTTAAAATAGGACTTAATTGTCAGAATCATTGTTGCATAAATTGCACCCAGACTGCTAACTTTGATCTTGTGTAATTCCATAAATTTTCCAACAAATTTTATACTTTCAGTGTCATTACCTTCAGAAAATATTCTCTGCGATTTCAGAATAAAAAAATATTTGTTTTAAAAAAGTGGACACTAGGAGCAATATTAATTTTGTGGGTTTGGACAGTGAAAGGGTTAACACAAAAAACTGAGTCTGGGAACCTATTGTACCTTTTCTTTTATTGTAAGCAATTCAGTTCATATATGGTAACATGCTTTTCTACACATTTTTTTAGACATGTTGCATTGTTATGTTAGTCTGTTTATACTATACCAGATTTAACAAAGACAAAAGTTGTAGAAAAGTTAACAGATAAATGGCTAGAATGGTGTAAGAGGTCTTGTATTACAGACATTGGAAAAATATACGTACAGTATGACTAATTAGATGTCGTTACAAATATTGTAGGTAACTACAAATAAGTAATTACATGTTTTCTAGTATACTGTACCACAAACTACATATGTACACACAAAAAATTTAAGAGCTCTTTTACTAAAATCAATTTTATGGAATTTTTATATTTGTCATAATTTTTGGAGTAATATTTCATGAGCAGTTTAAAAGAATGCCTTCATATTTGAAATTTGCATAACATAGTTAACATAAACACTGAACTCGTGACGATCAGGATTATACAGTAATATGAGATATTTTCCACCCACATTGTGATTTTAATGTAATTGATATTTTGTGTATTTGTTATGAATATGCCATTAGCATTATTTGTTTGGTAGAGATTGGTCAAAAACTGTACTTATAATAATTATGTAGGTCTATTGGATGGTGGCTTAGAAGCATTTAATATGTGATCAGTGGTTGAGGTGCAGCAGCTCAGCTTGCTTGCACCACAACCCTCACTCTCACTACACCTTGGTCATGCAGTAACCCTCACCACTAGTTTCCCACACCATATGCCCAGGCATCTAATACCCTCAGAGGGTGGAGAGCATATGTAAAGTGTTTTATGTTAAATACCATGGGAGAGTGGGCAGGAGGAAATGCATGACAAGAAATTGAGGGAGATTATTTTTTAATTTGTGTTAAAAATACAGTGGACCCCCGACTAACGATATTATTTCAATCCAGAAGTCTGTTCGGGTGCTGTTATAGACCGAATTTGTTCCCATAAGGAATATTGTGAATTAGATTAGTCCGTTTCAGACCCCAAAAATACACCTACAAAAGCACTTACAAAAATACTCTTACATAATTGGTCGAGTTGGGAGCTCATCGTTAGTTGGGGGTCCACTGTATATGAAATTCTGACAGAATATTTTGGTTTGAGAGTGCATCTACAGTTATAACAAAAATGTCCCTGGGGAAATAGGTTTCGAGTTGTGAACACTAGTTACAATTTTCAAAAATGCATGAGGGTTGTAAGTGAACTTGAGACAATTTTTCTATATATACAGTGGAAGGAGAGGGCTTGGCAATGCCGAGTCATATGGAGAAAGGGGAGTGGACGAGTAATAAGAGGGAGGAAAATACTTGATTTTAAAGATTACAGTATTTCACAAAAAATATTATTGCTACTCAATACACACAATGTATAGAGGCACTGAGAGGCAACACTCTTCCTAGCAGGTTGATTTTAGTGTAATTAAAGATGGTTTAAAAATCAATCTGGTCACCATACTACAACAATGGTTTCTTCCTTGTATGGATCATAAAGCATCTGTCTTTACCAGGCTGCTCTTGTACTTACAACATACTCCTTGCTTAGTTTTTTTTTTTTTATTACAGTTCATTAATTTTGCTCAGTCTGTTAACTTGAAGAAATAAGTATAAAGAAGTTTAATAATAATAATAATAATAATAATAGAGAAGCTTGCTAAGATCTTTACAGAAGAAGTGCAACATTGTATTAGGTAGACAGGTTGTGGAAGGAGACCAGGGATACATCCCTGCATTGCACTCTGATCAAACCATATCTTGTTACGCATTACAATTACGTATTATACTTGAAAATTTATTACTTTTCCATGATGATCTTCCCTTAAAAGTTTAGAAACAAACCAAAAAAAAAAAAAAACAGGATTTTTACCTTTTAAACATTATGCAAGTTTCATTACAAATCAAGTTTTTATTAAGAAAGAACAATACTTGGCAGTTTCAGAGGCATGTGTAGTATATAAATTACATGACTGAAACCTAACCAATCATATCGAAATACATACATAGCACCCCTATTAGCTCAAATGTGTATATTACATGTGCAAACTAGAACCTGTATTATAAGTAAGAGAAATTAGATTCTTATTTTTCTAGTGTGGGATGATGCTCAAATAAGTGACATATTATTCAACTAAATTTCTAATAAGTTTTTCATTTGTTGACAGTGGCTGTATGTTGGTTTTATAAGTGATAGCTTGAATGTGACCATTATTAGACATTAATGGATATACTGTATGTTTGTACAAGGTTCAATTCTAAGCTTTCTTAGGGCAGTTAACTATATCTTAATGAATTATCATGGTTATGGGGTTATAAGCCTGTGTACTGTTTGTGTTGTAATTTGAATTTATATGCTGAGGTGATACATTATTGAACAGAGAATTTAATGGAGTTCATTTATATATTTTTTAATTAAGTGTCCAGAATTCATTTCATAGTCTTTCCATATTTAAGCCAGTATAAAGGATAAAAAATTATAGTAAAAGGATATTTTCCAAGTAATTATTTTTAAAAATTTGATAATGCACTATTATTTGGCAAATGACTGCAAATAAGCTTTTGAAGGTAGATTTTGGAAAACATCATATAAGGAACGCTTATTTTTGTTTATAACTTGAAAGTACTAAAAAAATCAGTAAAGATTTAATTTCAGATAATTGCAGCTTTAAAAACATGAAAAAAATCAGTGACAAATTACTGATGCTCTTTTTTATATTAAGTGACAAATATTGAGTATTTTATCTGCCATTTGAACTTATTTAATCTTTGTTACATTAACCATTGTAAGACTTAGCCTGGAGTGTGAAGGTCTTCTAAAGACTTGTAAATTTATACAAACTTCAGCCTAGTGGATGAAAAAATTAATTCCAAAGAGTTTGTAACCTGCTTATGTGTATTAATGTATTCAACTTCGTATTTTGTAGAGTTGCAAAATCTTCTGAATCATCTCCTCAGACCCATGAGACCTATTTTAGATTTGTTGATTGATCATATACAATGAAGATAATGTTCCAGATAAGTTATTCATGGTCTGGAATTTACAAATGTGACTATTTTTTATGTACACAATTTAAATATTGTAGAATCAATGCCAAGAATGAAAGGAGGCAACATATTAGGTGTCATGATTCAATACTCAGTACAGCTTTCTATTTATTTTAAAAATAACCGGGATTGTAAAAAGCTTCATAATGGTTAATTATAACAGATATAATTAAGCCATACTAGGTTGACCAGTAATTGGTCTATGAACTACTTAATATGTGGTAAAATTTTAGGTTATGCAAGACTTATTGCAGTGTTTTTATATTTTACTCCCAGGAAGGATATGTATGTGTGTATGTATGTAGTATATATATATATAATATATATATATATATATATATATATATATATATATATATATATATATATAATATATATACAGTGGACCCCCGCATAACGATTACCTCCGAATGTGACCAATTATGTAAGTGTATTTATGTAAGTGCGTTTGTATGTGTATGTTTGGGGGTCTGAAATGGACTAATCTACTTCACAATATTTCTTATGGGAACAAATTCGGTCAGTACTGGCACCTGAACATACTTCTAGAGTGAAAAAATATCGTTAACTGGGGGTCCACTGTATTGTGTGTGTGTGTGTGTGTGTGTGTGTGCGCAAGACAAGCCATGGGGGGTGGAAATCTTTGGCTCAAGATTCAAAGCTCTCAGATTCTAAGAGACTGAGGCTGGTGACAGACCCGCATTGTGCTACTCTGAGAAAACTTCCCCTGCTTCAGTTGCTGCCTTGCAACATTGAATAGCTCCTGATGATGTACTGAGAAGCGTGAAAGTACTTGAGCCAAAGATTTCCACCCCCCGTGGCTTGTCTTGCATAGTTAAGATCGCCTGTCTGTAATTGTTTGTATATATATGCGTGTTGTGTGTGTGTGTGTGTGTGTGTGTGTGTGTGTGTGTGTGTGTGTGTGTGTGTGTGTGTGTGTGTGTGTGGTGTGTGTGTGTGTGTGTGTGTATGTATATATATATATATATATATATATATATATATATATATATATATATATATATATATATATATATATATATATATATATATATATATATATATATAATATTATTACAACAATGGCCATCTCCCACCACCATGAGGTGGCCCCAAAGAAAATAACACAATTATTCATTCAATCGCTGTTTTGCCAGAAGTGTGCTAACATCATGATTCAGGTTACACTCAGACTGTAATATTCCCATTCTTCTTCAGAGTGAAGGAACTGCCCTTCACACCTCCAGGACTCAGGTCCTGCTAACTGGTTTCCCTGAATCTCTTAAAGGTATCTTGTTCATACCTCAATGGCATATTCAATAAAAACCACTTGTCACCATTCACACTTGCACATTTCTGCTTGATGCTCAAGCCTCTGAAACTCTTAGCTTTTTTTTTTTACCTCCTGCAAAAGCTCCAGGGATGAACTCTTTCTACTTTCCTCCCCAGATTTACACACCCTCATCATGTCCATCTCCTTCCTCTCTAAATACCAAATGAACATAATAAAGAAGGAACACTGCAGCAGGCCTACTGGCCTATGCAAGGTATGTCCAAGTCTCCTACCAGCTTAAGCCAATGACTACCTAGTCAGGTCAAGTCACATTCACTTAAGGAAGGAGCATGGCATCAGACCTAGTAGCACAACCTAGTCGGGTCCAATTCACACCCACTCATGTATTTATCTAACCTATTTTTAAAACTACACAAAGTTTTAGCTCCTATGGCAGTACTCGGGAGTTTGTTCCACTCATCCACAACTCTATTACCAAACCAGTGCTTTTGC